TGTTACTTTTTATCACACTGTCTAATACCCATACAAAATTCAGTTTTTTAGTATTTGGAGCAATTATTATTAATCAACGCAAACAGTCAGTTCATGTAGTTTGAATACTGGAATCATATTAATGGGTCCTCTTTAACAAATATTTAAACAGTTTTTTTTTATTTTTTTAATGAAATAAACGAATTATATCGACAATATTAGTATCTGTACTCTTTAAAAATTTGGTACATCTTTAAAAACAATCTCAAATGTCAATATTCCATGGGTATATTGATAAGTAGAGATCTAAATTATAAGAAAATGCATTTTCTACGAAAACTTGAAGGGATAGGTAAAATGGTATAACACAATTTGGTGAACAGACATTAAATTGTGCATGTGATTCTCTAAAATGGGGCGTTCCAAATTTAGAATTAAACAAGTTAATGCCGGTTTGAAGCTAATAATTATTTAAAAATAGGGTTTTTAGACACTCTATTATAAGGAAATAATTTTATTGTTGCAACAATAACTGATCAATAAACTTCGTAAATGACGAGTATTAAACACTTTTGTGGAGCTGAAATGCCTTAAAATTTTGTCTCAATTCACAAGGTGAAAATATTTCGAAAAAACAAGGACAAGTATAATAAACAATCAATCAAATTGCCTTTATTTTTAATCGTAGAAACTAAAAATGTAATATACAGGGTGTTCGTTAAAAAATACAACTTAGATATTTCAGACTTGTGTAGATAACGTAGTGAAATATTTTTACATATTCTAATAGTCCTTCATTCAAACCCAAAACTCCCACAATTAATAAAGATCTCATCGTTTAGCTACAATACTCCGTGTCGTATGTGGTGAACAACCCTGTTTTTTTTTTGTACAGAGATACCTGTCTCATAAACTAAGAACAAATTACAGAAATAGGAAACACTGACTTTTCGGCAAAGTATTGTGATATTCAGGGTTTCTGACTAAATACCTTTTGGAAGGGATCATTAAATTTATTTTCTTTTAACTACTTAAAATTACCTTCCATCATCTGCAAAGTAATAGGTATGATAAAATAATACTTTATTCTCAGGAAAAGATTAAATGATACTTTAACAGCGAGGGATGGGTTAACAACTTTATTTCTTTCTGTCAGTTTTAAATATGCTTCTATTTTTTGACAATTTTTTTAGTATGTCTACATTCCCTTTTTATTCTAAGATTGTTCGTAAAGGAATCTTGTACTTTTCTTCAGTTTTTTTGAAGAAATATGTCCATGTTTTGGGTAGGAGTTTAAAAAATCTAATAGAGTTTGTACTTATGTAATCAGCGTAAACAAATATTACTGAGTGAAACCCATAGTTCCCTAAAGATATAATGCACTGAACAAATTCTCTTTCTTCGTCAGCGGTAAATATGGGCTGATGCCCGGTTTTAGAATGTTTACATTTGGAGTTTATTCAAGATTGTTCGTCTAGGAATCTTGTACTTTTCTTCTCAGCGGCTCACAATACATTAATACGTCCATGTTTTATTTCGTTTTAAACATTCCTAATAGAGGTTTCTTCCTGTGTAATCAGCGTATTTTTCGCGCACCAGCTTTTCTTTTTTGTAATTTCTAGGCATAGTTAACTGCCAAAGAAAAAAAATGATATGAAGTGTATTATTTTACCCTGGAGCCAAAGTAACCCCGAAAATGAAAAATGCGTTATGCCACTTTGCTCCGGAGCAAAGTAACCTTCCAAAATACCAAATTTTTGCAGGTCCAGACAAGAGAAAATATATTTTTGTTTTAATGGTTTCGTTAAAATATAAATAAAGGCAACAGTTAACTAATATTCCTTATTATAATATGCACACACTTACTTGAAAATCAGCTTTAACTTAACTTGTGCACACACTAAATCTTGGCGATTAAAAATAGAGCAAATTCTTACACCAGTTTCACATAAGGTTATGTGCCTAAATAAACTTAGAAATGGCGGGCTCCTTGCACATGTTACACTAACATAGATAACCTTCAATACAGCAGTGTTAATTTGGTCATTTTCCTCTTAGGTGTAATTTTATAATAAAGTGAAACTCTTTTTGAGTGTGGAGCAAAGTAGGCTCTGAAGGAGCAAAGAAGCCTCGGTTTACGGTATTCGTTTTAAAAGTTATTCGGGATTTAAATGGAAGTAGTTTGGATCAGCAATCGACACGAAAGAGAATTAAAAAATATTGACTCAAAAGTGACAACTAAAGAGACGGCTTTATTTATTTGTCAAATTACATAGAAACCAACGCCAACCCAGCAAAATATTTTTTCTACTCGTAATAAATTCCTTGAAATAAAAATAACGAAGAAAAACGAAAAATAAACGACAATATTTTTACGAATCCTATTTGAGTAACTAGCTAACGATTTCATAAAGAAATATCTGTGATTCCGTCAAGTCACGAATTGGCTGTTCGACATAATTTATTTAAATAAATCAAGCAGTGAAGCATAAAGCACTAGCAATAGCGTCGGTTATTATTTCCATTACACTGTCATCCTTTCCTAATGCAAAACGAAATAAAACAATCGTTTTATTCCGTTTGTTTCTCGCAATTTTTCTTTTAAAGATTCTTAACAGAAATGACTATCGTGCATAAATAAAATAATCACGTATAGGTATAGTTAGAGACATATGTATCTTACGTTTGAATGTATAGATTCAGGAAGGAACATTCAAATATCTAGATAAGTAGAAAATGTAATATAATGGGGTCCTACAATGGTTTAAGACATTCAATGGTTGAAGAAATTTCTCAGAACTTACAACCGAAGAAAAATTAAAAAAAATTCCTCGATTTGATTAGGAACAATCTTCAAATTGTTACGGGGGTTTTAACAGGACACTGATGTCTTCTCAATGACCACCTCAGAAGATATAAACAGAGTTTAGCCCAAATAAATATTATCTGAATCTCATTCTGTTTTTTTTATGTAAAAATTATGATATCACTGATTATTCTATACTCCTTAACAATCAATAACTCGCAATAATTACACTGATCTGTCCTGTACCAATCTAAACGTTCTTGAACCTTGGCGTAATTGATATGGATGATCTAATTCATATTTACTTAACCCGCGATACATCCTGGCTCATAGCATATCTCTTCTATTTCATCACATATCGATTACCTACCGTAATTGAATATCTCGCGCTATATCTCGAGATGCATGTACTAGATTCGCGTGCTATCAAGATCGTGCAGCGTTTCTTCCATTTCTTCATTCATTGTCGATGATTATTATATACCTGGAGTACCAAAAAACAACGAGAAACCTTTAGTAAGACCATTTTTAACAGTTTTTTCATCCCAAATAGGATAATAACACAAAAAATCATATATAAAGCACTTTAAACTGATTTCTATCGGTATTTAATAACATTTTCCTGATGTAGGGGCATTAGATCTGGTCTATACGGTGTACAACCCGGTAAAATCGCGTTTGCAAATATGATTCTTGGGTAATTTACCGTTCGTGATGTCGACTAAGTTACAAAAGTTGACCTTAAATTAAATGGAAGATGAAAATCGAATGGTTTCGCGATTTGAATGAACCAGATGGATTTTTTTTGTGTGCCTTTAAGCTGTGCATTGGTTGAGCAATGAGGTTATTGTATCATTGATTATAAATTCACGAGTCAACGATTCGAAGTAGTTGATGTTCATAAATATTTATTTCGTTTTTTAATATTCGTTTTTAATTCTCTCAAAGTAACTTAAATCAAGTTAAATGGAACAAAAAATTCAACTTTTATGCCAAATTATAGTAGTCCAGCTTCAGAGACAACGGCATCACAACAATTTAATTTCAAATTTGTTTAAGTAGTTATTTAAGACACACTCTGTATATTAGAAACGAGTTGCTTCAGATCATCACAGAAAATAATAGTTTTCTTCTAAATCCTGTTGAGAAATATTTTTCGACAAAATTTTTAATTTTCATCCACAAAAAATAAAACCTCCAGTGTATAATTAATTACCGAACCAATCAAGAACATTGAAAAATTAGTTTGTAATTAGTCTAAGACGACTCGAACCTCACCAAGCTAGGTTCATTGATATTTCAACACGGATTTATCAATTTACAGAGGTATTGAAAAAAATTCAACTAAAAACCGTTTATAAAAAATAGAATCGACGACCGATTTCAACACAGACGAAGATTTTCATGGTGGGAACGGAGTGCTTGATGGTACCGTGTCCTTGGTACGCTAATGGTACTTTTAATAATCGTTATTGTACTACTTTGTGTTAGGCTGGAGGAAGTTTTAAGTATTTCGCCACCCAAAAACCCTGATTTTATACTCTAGACATTACGACGATTTTGTAATAATAATATGAATATTTTGAATGTTATAAAAATCATAAATTATGTCAATACTTTGTGGTTAAATAAATCATCATCATCATCATTTTCAGCTTATTCCACCATCGTGAAGGTTCCTTCACATGAAGGTAGATTTTTGCAAATAACTTTTAAATTACAATTCCAAATAAAACGAAATTCTATAGACAAAAGTACCACTTTAACGCATCTTCAAAAAAGTATAATACAACTTTTGCATAAAATTATCGGGGGAGACAATATTTGACCTTTTCAAAATTTACATGGGGTTTCCTATGTATCGTGTTCCGATGTACCACACGGTATACTCATTCTTCAAGATTCATTGCATCATTGCTTAGACCACACTAACCATCCCCATTCTAAAATTCCAGTTATTAAAACGACATTACTACACCTCCAGCCTCGTTTACCCTTTAACCCTACCACCCTCACCCCCCTGTACACACGTAGACATCGACCGCATCTATATTTAACCCTCAACACGCACCGGGTCCCATTCTTAAGGCGCCTCAATCCCTCCCCTCACTATAACTCCACCTCACGTCCAATAGAAGCTCAGCGTCGCGACGCCGCCCCTTGCAGACGTCACACTCGACGCTGTCCGGTCTCATTCAGCCCTCAACTTTCGTAGCGTCGCGACGCGTCGGTGCCCTTTAATACCGGCTCCATCAGACACAGGTGCAAAGACCGAGCTATCCCGTACCTTTAGTACGCCACTGAGCCTTGTGCGCGCGTGTTTTTGGGGGTCCCGCAACCCCCCAGGCCACCCGCAGACGTGGCAGTGGAAGGGACAGGCAGGGGCGCAGCCTCCGGCGGTGCCGGCGCCTTCCAGCAGTTCTTTGGGGCTGCCAAGAGGCAAGGCGCCCAGGTCGGAGACATTAGGGGCTTTTTCAGGGGTAGGATCGGGGCGGCGCTACCTGATACAGGTGAGTACTACCTTCGGGAACGGAAAAAGTTGATTCTGAACCATATTTTAAGCATTCTGGATACTAGAGACATGATTCTGAGTCCCTGGTTCAAAATAATATATCATAGTTTGTTTGAGAATACATTTAAAGTGTCCCAGTACGATCAAAGATGATTCTGAATCTTATATTAACCATTCTGGATATTAGAAATATGATTCTGAGTTATCGATTTAAAATACTGTACCTTAGTTTGCTTTAGAGCACATTTAAGGTGTCCCATTATGATCAAGGACGATTCTGAACCTTAAATTAACCATTCTGAGTACTACAAACATGATTCAGAGTCATTGATTTAAAATAGTGTACCTTAGTCTACATGAGAGTGCATTTAAAGTGTCCCAGTACAATCAAGAATCATTCTGAACTTTACTTTAGTCATTCTGGATACTAGAAACATGATTCTGAGTCTCTGGTTCAAAATAAGGTACCTTAGTTTGCTTTGGAGTACATTTAAAGTATCCAAATACAAACAAGGATGATTCTGAACCTTACTTTAACCATTCTGGATACTAGAAACACGATTCTGAGTCCTTTGGTTAAAAATAATGTACCTAAATTTGACTTAGAGTGCATTTAAGGTGTCCAGTGCAATCCTACGTATCTTAGAAACTTAACTATAAATTTTGTTTTAAGTATCCTGGATTCTAAAAGCACGGTCTGAGTCCTTGGTTCAGAATAATGCCACTTAGTTTGCTTTAGAGTAAATTTAAAGTGTCACAGTATGATCAAGGATGATTCTGACTTTTATTTGAGTCATTCTGGATACTAGACACATGATCCTGAGTCATTGATTTAAAATAAAGTAACTTAGTTTGCTTTAGAGTACATTTAATATCTTCCAGTACGATTAAGAATCATTCTGAACCTTAATTTAACCGTTCTGGACACTAGAAATATGATTCTGAGTCGTTTAGTTCAAAATAATATATCTAAGTTTACTTTGGGGTACATTTAAGGTGTCTCGGAGGATCCTAAGTGTCTTAGAAAGCTCGAAAACTTAATTATGAATTTATTTATTGTATTCTGGATTCTAAGAGCACGATCTGAGTCCTTGGTTCAGAATAACGCCTCTTAGTTACTTTTATAATACGTCCAAAACTTCTAAGCATGATCCTAAGGGCCAAAGAAAAAAATTAGGGCCAAGAATCATACATCGAAATCGAATTTTAAGTATTCTGAATACTAAAAACATGATTCTGAGTCGTCGCTTCAAAATATTCTATCTTAGATACATTTAAAGTACTTCCAAGATGCCTCGGTACAATCCTAAGTATCTTAGAGGAACACTGAAGGCTAAAAAAATAAACTCTCTAACTCTAATTGAACGCTCTGAGTCCTTGGTTCAGAATATTGCATCTTTGAATACGTTCAAGGTTTTAAAGTATTATTTTAAGGAACTTAGAAATTAATTAAGGTTGAGGAACATACTTTTAAATCGTATTTTAAGTATTCTGGATAGTAAAAACATGCTTCTGAGTCAATGGTTCCACATAATGTGACTAAAATATCTTTAGGGTACGTTTAAAGGGTTCCAATATAATCCTAAGGGTCTTCGAAAGACATTAAAACTTAGGAACTTAAATTTAAACTGTATTTTAAGTATTATGGATACTAAAAACATGATTCTGAGTCATTGGTTCAACATACTGTGTCTTAGATAACTCTAGAGTACTGCCAGTATGCCACAGTATAATCCTCAATGCCTTAAATAGAGACTAAAGCTAGGATCTAAATTTTAAACCGTGTTTTTAGTCCAGATTTCTGTGGTAGTGTCAAATCTATAAAGAATACCATTATAATAGCTTTTAACTGAATTCAGAGCTTCAAATTTATGCAAAATTATTTCCCGATAACACGATTTGCGTTTCTACAGTTGAAATTATTCAAATGTAGGAATTTGAAAAGCTAGAGCCTAAGCTATCGATCGTCCTGGAATATAGACCCATCCATTTATGGGTCTCGCGAGACGCAACAAAATGGCTAGCGTGACCTTTTCTTCCCAAAATGGCCGCGATCGATCGATGCGCAGACGTCGTTGGCGCATACGGATCAATCTCTTCGTGTCAAATAGCGTTGTTAAAACAGAACAAATGTTTGTTGACTGATTAAATACTTAATGCCGAGTTCTCTTATCATTTTTACGGCTTATATACGTCAATTTTTTATGTAATGTGTAAATCTCTATGCAGATATGAATTATAGTATGTTTGTTTATGTCTTACATTGCGTATATTTGGATTTTTTGTACCTTAAAGAGAGAAAAAATAAAAAAAATATAAAAATGGTATATTGTTTTATTAGGAGTAAAAATGATGTTTGCCATTACATTACAGGGAAGGCACAAAAAGTAATTTTTACTACGAATAGAATAATTTTTTATTATTATTTTATATTAAGTAATAGCAATCCAAAAAAAAAAAATCTTTTTGAAATTGTATAACCTACGTTCTAAGAATTAGCGTATTGTAAAAATCTATACATATTCTTGTAGGAAATTGAATAGTTTTCAAAAAAACTCTGATATGCTTTTTCATTTAATCGACTCGTTTGAAAGTTAAGCCCCATACTCACACTTCGTTCCTTCCTCGCGTCCCTTCATCCAAAAATCATATATTTACTATGGGAAAATGTCGATTTTATGCGACTGTGTGTTCCTTCCTCCTTCGTCAAAACGCTACTTCGTCCGTTTACTTCCTCGAAACGCTCCTTCCACGTATTGTCGGTTTTTGGAGGAAGTAGCAAAGGAATTATCACGAACACAAAAAAATATTAAAATATATAAAATATATAAATCGATCTTGGATTTCATTCGTAGTTGATTTCTTGATTTGGCAGTACGTCTGTACAGGGTGTCCCATTTTCGTGTGTTTTGCAGGGTTTCTCGTTTATGAGTCGAGATACAAAGATGCGGTTTTCACATTACGTTGTTACTTTTTATGAAACTAAAGATGCTACATACAGATATGTCCTAGCTCTCTTACTTCCTAAAATACAGGGCGAATCTGAAATTATTGCATTTTTCGATCCCCTTTGTATCATAACTTATCGAAAAGGTGAAAACGGTTTCCCGTACAGTTTTTCACGTAGAATGCAGTGACGTAACTATTTCTTCTTTGGAATCTGTCTTTTTTTAAATTGACTAAAACTTATATGTTTTTTTATATACGATATTTTGTATATTATTTTATTTTCCTTGTTACGAGCTTTCTAAAATACTTATTTTCATAAACGGGGTAAAAATGCATTATTTAACATTATTACATAGTCGGCCGGTTTAAATTAGGTAATCAAAACAATCAACTAATTTATTCGACGTAAAATGTTGGTTATTATGTTATTTAAAAAGCAGCACAAGTTCAGTTTCCGTGTTGTTTATGAAAATATCAGGATGCAAAGCAAAATTATCTGGTAAAATTAAGTTAAATAAAATAAGAGCCGTTTAGCAGTTTAGCAGTACCTAAATAAATAAATATAGAGTATATTATAATTTTCGAAAGCTCATAACAAGGCAAATAAAATAGAAAATAATATATAGAGTGTCCTGTTTAAAAAAAAGAACATAAGTTTGAGTCATTTTTTGAAATAGACAGCTCCCAACGAAGAACCACTTTCGTCACTGCCATTCTACCTGAAAAACGAGAGACGGGCGGTGGGTAGAACAAAACAAAAAATCAGGGTATCCGGTATATACCTGTACATTTAAATGAACAGTCTAATTTCATAAAAGGTATTTCCAACCTTCTTAATTCAAACTTATTTCTTATTTCTTATGTAGCATATTTAGTTTCATAATAAGTAGAACAATGATGTGAAAACAGCATCTTTATATCTCTACTCATAAACCAGAAACCCCGTAAAACACACACAAATGGGACATCCTGTACATCTAGCAATCGCCAGTCGATATAAAAAATAATTCACACACAATAGTCTAAAAATGGAAGAAAAAAACAATGTTGTCTTCATATTTGTGAAAAAATGCATGTCCATATTTATGTAATCGTAGCGACAAAATAAAAAATAGAAATAATGTGTATGATGCCTTTACCAAAATATCTGAAGAAATGGACATTAATGTTTAATTAGTATGTCATAATTCATGGTTTCGATATAAATTACATAATAAACTTTACTCTATTGTTGACTAGCCTTGTACATTCATACCGATATACCTTTGTATATGATACTGAAATATTCTGATTTATTAAAAAAAATATATTACATAGTCGGCCAATTTTATTAGGTGATCACGACAATCAACTAAGTTTTCGACGCAAAAAATTGGTTATTGGCATGTTATTTAAAAGCAGCACAAGTTCAGTTTCCGTGTAGTTTATGAAAATATCACGATGCAAAGCAAATTATCTGGTAAAATGGCGTTAAATAAAAATAAGAGCCGTTTAGCAGTTTAGCAGTATTTTAAATAAATAAATATAGAGTATATTATAATTTTCGAAAGCTCATAACAAGGCAAATAAAATAGAAAATAATATATAGAGTGTCCTGTTTAAAAAAAAGAACATAAGTTTGAGTCATTTTTCGAAATAGACAGCTCCCAACGAATAGACAGCTCTACCTGAAAAACGAGAGACGGGCGGTGGGTAGAACAAAACAAAAAATCAGGGTATCCGGTATATACAAGGGCGTAGATAAGGGGGGGGGGTACTGGGGGACAGTACCCCCCCTGACGCTTGACGAGATACGAGAATTGAAATAGTCATTGACTATGAAAGGATTTTTTTAAATTAATATCCGACATATAAGAACACTTTGTATGCTTTTAATTATGTTGATTTATCGTTTATAATATGTTCGACCTAATTAAAAGCACACAAAGTGTTCTTATTGGCCAGGACAGATTAGTGGGGTTAACTCTAATCAATATCCATAAAGATATTGAAATAAAGGTTGATGCTGTTATTGATAGGTTTTCCAAACAGCGTACTAGAAAACTTGAT